AAGATGAGTCAAGTGATTAAGATGAGTCAAGGTGAATTAAGATGAGTCAAGTGATTAAGATGAGTCAGGTGATTAAGATGAGTCAAGTGATTAAGATGAGTCAGGTGATTAAGATGAGTCAAGTGATTAAGATGAGTCAGGTGATTAAGATGAGTCAGTGATTAAGATGAGTCAGTGATTAAGATGAGTCAGTGATTAAGATGATCAGGTGATTAAGATGAGTCAAGTGATTAAGATGAGTCAGGTGATTAAGATGAGTCAAGTGATTAAGATGAGTCAGGTGATTAAGATGAGTCAGGTGATTAAGATGAGTCAAGTGATTAAGATGAGTCAGGTGATTAAGATGAGTCAGGTGATTAAGATGAGTCAAGTGATTAAGATGAGTCAGGTGATTAAGATGAGTCAAGTGATTAAGATGAGTCAGGTGATTAAGATGAGTCAGGTGATTAAGATGAGTCAAGTGATTAAGATGAGTCAAGTAATTAAGATGAGTCAGGTGATTAAGATGAGTCAAGTGATTAAGATGAGTCAGGTGATTAAGATGAGTCAGGTGATTAAGATGAGTCAAGTTATTAAGATGAGTCAGGTGATTAAAGTGAGTCAGGTGATTAAGATGAGTCAGTGATTAAGTGAGTCAGGTGATTAAGATGAGTCAGGTGATTAAGATGAGTCAGGTGATTAAGGTGTGATCAGAGTGATTAAGATGAGTCAAGTGATAAGGTGAATGAGTCAAGTGATTAAGATGAGTCAGGTGATTAAGATGAGTCAAGTGATTAAGATGAGTCAAGTGATTAAGATGTGTCAAGTGATTAAGATGAGTCAGGTGATTAAGATGAGTCAAGTGATTAAGATGAGTCAGGTGATTAAGATGAGTCAGGTGATTAAGATGAGTCAGGTGATTAAGGTGAGTCAGGTGATTAGTGAGTCAAGTGATTAGTGAGTCAGTGATTAAGATGAGTCAAGTGATTAAGTGAGTCAGTGATTAAGATGAGTCAGGTGATTAAGTGATCAGGTGATTAAGGTGAGTCAAGTGATTAAGGTGAGTCAGGTGATTAAGATGAGTCAAGGTGATTAAGGTGAGTATCAGGTGATTAAGATGAGTCAGGTGATTAAGATGAGTCAGGTGATTAAGATGAGTCAGGTGATTAAGATAATCAGGTGATTAAGATGAGTCAAGTGATTAAGGTGAATCAGTGATTAAGATGAGTCAGGTGATTAAGATGAGTCAGGTGATTAAGATGAGTCAGTGATTAAGATGAGTCAAGTGATTAAGATGAGTCAGGTGATTAAGATGAGTCAGTGATTAAGATGAGTTCAGGTGATTAAGATGAGTCAGGTGATTAAGTGAGTCAGGTGATTAAGGATGAGTCAGGTGATTAAGATGAGTCAAGGTGATTAAGATGAGTCAGTGATTAAGATGAGTCAAGTGATTAAGATGAGTCAGGTGATTAAGATGAGTCAGGTGATTAAGATGAGTCAAGTGATTAAGATGAGTCAGGTGATTAAGATGAGTCAGGTGATTAAGATGAGTCAGTGATTAAGATGAGTCAAGTGATTAGTGAGTCAAGTGATTAAGATGAGTCAGGTGATTAATGAGTCAAGTGCATTAGTGATGTGATTAGATGAGTCAGTGATTAAGTGAGTCAGGTGATTAAGATGAGTCAAGTGATTAAGATGATTCAGGTGATTAAGATGAATCAGGTGATTAAGATGAGTCAAGTGATTAAGGTAATCAAGTGATTAAGATGAGTCAAGTGATTAAGATGAGTCAGGTGATTAAGATGAGTCATGCTGATTAAGATGAGTCAGTGATTAAGATGAGTCAAGTGATTAAGATGAGTCAGTGATTAAGTGAGTCAGGTGATTAAGATGAGTCAAGTGATTAAGGTGATCAAGTGATTAAGATGAGTCAGGTGATTAAGGATGAGTCAGGTGATTAAGATGAGTCAAGTGATTAAGATGAGTCAAGTGATTAAGATGAGTCAGGTGATTAAGATGATCAGGTGATTAAGGTGAGTCAAGTGATTAAGATGATCAAGTGATTAAGATGAGTCAGGTGATTAAGGTGAGTAAGGTGATTAAGATGAGTCAGGTGATTAAGGTGATGTAGTGTCTAAGATCAGTGTGATTAAGATGAGTGCAGGTGATTAAGATGATCAGGTGATTAAGATGAGTCAAGTGATGTAAGGTGAATTAGGTGATTAAGATGAGTCAGGTGATTAAGATGAGTCAGGTGATTAAGATGAGTCAGTGATTAAGAGAGTCAGGTGATTAAGATGAGTCAGGTGATTAAGATGAGTCAAGTGATTAAGATGAGTCAGGTGATTAAGATGAGTCAGTGATTAAGGTGAGTCAGGTGATTAAGATGAGTCAAGTGATTAAGGTGAGTCAGTGATTAAGATGAGTCAGTGATTAAGATGAGTCAAGTGATTAAGATGAGTCAAGTGATTAAGATGAGTCAAGTGATTATGATCGGTGATAAGAGGTCAGGTGATTAAGATGAGTCAAGTGATTAAGTGAGTCAGTGATTAAGATGAGTCAGGTGATTAAGATGAGTCAAGTGATTAAGATGAGTCAGGTGATTAAGGTGAGTCAGGTGATTAAGATGAGTCAGGTGATTAAGGTGAGTCAGGTGATTAAGATCAGTCAGGTGATTAAGATGAGTCAGGTGATTAAGGTGTATCAGGTGATTAAGATGAGTCAAGTGAGTAAGGTGAATTAGGTGATTAAGATGATTCAGGTGATTAAGATGAGTCAAGTGATTAAGATGAGTCAAGTGATTAAGGTGAGTCAGGTGATTAAGATGAGTCAGGTGATTAAGATGAGTCAGGTGATTAAGATGAGTCAGGTGATTAAGATGAGTCAGCTGATTAAGGTGAGTCAGGTGATTAAGATGAGTCAAGTGATTAAGGTGAGTCAAGTGATTAAGATGAGTCAAGTGATTAAGATGAGTCAAGTGATTAAGATGAGTCAAGTGATTAAGATGAGTCAAGTGATTAAAATGAGTCAGGTGACTAAGATGAGTCAGGTGATTAAGATGAGTCAAGTGATTAAGGTGAGTCAAGTGATTTAAGGTGAGTTAGGTGATTAAGATGAGTCAAGTGATTAAGATGAGTCAGGTGATTAAGGTGAGTCAGGTGATTAAGATGAGTCAAGTGATTAAGGTGAGTCAGGTGATTAAGATGAATCAGTGATTAAGATGAGTCAAGTGATTAAGATGAGTCAAGTGATTAAGATGAGTCAAGTGATTAATATGAGTCAGGTGATTAAGATGAGTCAGGTGATTAAGATGAGTCAGGTGATTAAGATGAATCAGGTGATTAAGATGAGTCAGGTGATGAAGGTGAGTCAGGTGATTAAGATGAGTCAAGTGATTAAGGTGAGTCAAGTGATTGAGTCAAGTGATTGAGTCAAGTGATTAAGATGAGTCAAGTGATTAAGGTGAGTCAGGTGATTAAGATGAGTCAGGTGATTAAGATGAGTCAGGTGATTAAGATGAGTCAGGTGATTAAGACGAGTCAGGTGATTAAGGTGAGTCAGGTGATTAAGATGAGTCAAGTGATTAAGATGAGTCAAGTGATTAAGATGAGTCAAGTGATTAAGATGAGTCAGGTGATTAAGGTGAGTCAGGTGATTAAGATGAGTCAAGTGATTAAGGTGAGTCAAGTGATTAAGGTGAGTTCAGGTGATTAAGATGAGTCAAGTGATTAAGATGAGTCAGGTGATTAAGGTGAGTCAGGTGATTAAGATGAGTCAAGTGATTAAGGTGAGTCAGGTGATTAAGATGAATCAGGTGATTAAGATGAGTCAAGTGATTAAGGTAAGTCAAGTGATTAAGATGAGTCAAGTGATTAAGATGAATCAAGTGATTAAGATGAGTCAGGTGATTAAGGTGAGCCAGGTGATTAAGATGAGTCAAATGATTAAGATGAGTCAGGTGATTAAGATGAGTCAGGTGATTAAGATGAATCAGGTGATTAAGATGAGTCAAGTGATTAAGGTGAATCAGGTGATTAAGATGAGTCAGTTGATTAAGGTGAGTAAGGTGATTAAGATGAGACAGGTGATTAAGATGAGTCAAGTGATTAAGATGAGTCAGGTGATTAAGATGAGTCAGGTGATTAAGATGAGTCAAGTGATTAAGGTGAATCAGGTGATTAAGATGAGTCAGGTGATTAAGGTGAGTAAGGTGATTAAGATGAGTCAGGTAATTAAGATGAATCAAGTGATTAAGATGAGTCAAGTGATTAAGGTGAGTCAAGTGATTAAGATGAGTCAAGTGATTAGGGTGAGTCAGGTGATTAGGGTGAGTCAGGTGATTAGGGTGAGTCAGGTGATTAAAATGAGTCAGTTGATTAACATCAATCGGGTGATTAACGGGTGATAAAGGTGATCTAGACAAAGTAATTAAGGTGTTAATTAGCCTAATCTAAACAAAAATAGATTATCAGCTAAGCAAGGAAATTAAGCCTGAGGCAAATAAGCCAGAAAGAAGCCAGCAGTCAAAGTAACTTAGTGAATGAAAGGTAAGCCAGGGATCCAATGGGCGTTTTTTAATCTGGCTTAACAAACTCGGTTGAATGGCTTCGTTAAGTTATTAGTCGCTAATGGGGTAATTAGGCTGGCGAGCCTCCACTGGTTGGCGAAAATAGCCAGAGGTTAGTCTGCGTCTACCTGAGTGCCTGGCTGACTCTGTGGCAGGTGTAGTGGCTGTTCACAGGTGTTACTACAGGTGTTTTACAGTGGTAGGTGTTGGTAGGTGCGTTGTGGTGTGCTTTCGTGTACTGTCTAAAGCTCTGTCTCGTGTCTTTATGTTACTGAGTTCTCACGTGAAGGTTTATATCTTTCTGGGTACTGCAGTGTACTCTCGGTTATTTCTAAGTGCTCCCGTGTACTCTGATTATTTCTAAGTATTCTCGTGTACTCTGGTTTATTTCTAAGTACTCTCGAGTACTCTGGTTTATCCCGAAGTACTCGCAAGTTTTGTATTCGAGTGTAGTCTCACTTATTACAGGGTACTCTCATGCATTTCCATGTACTCTTAGTCGGGTCTTCCAAATCATCACGTACTACTCCAAAAGAATGAAAACTACAGGGTGTCTTAGGTTGTCAGTATCCCTGCTTTATCACAGGTGATATTGATTACCATCAAGGTACACCACAACTTCCTCCTCCTTCCCCTCCCTTCCTACTCTCACTCCAACCTCATCAACTTTCCCTAAATCCTCCACTCCTTTGCCTCCCTCCACACTCTGCCTTCCTACACCCCCTTTCCACCTCCAGCACCCTAACTCCCTCTTCTTCCTTCAATATCCCTGTGTTAGTTTAAACGTGATTCGCAGAGGATTTAGATCTAAGGGGTAACTACAAATGGCTTAGATGTAGAGGTCAGTAAGTGTGACCTTACCTGACCTAAGGTGTAGGGGTCGATGAGAAAGCAAGCAGCTCGGGTCACCCCCAAAACACAGAGGAATACATTGATGGTCGACATAAATGGACGGTTGGAGATTTGTGACCTGGTGAAGAAGGAAAGAGTAGTGTAAGAGTTACGCAAGATCATAGCGCTAAAAGAAACAGGTGTTGTCAGTCTGGATAACTCCTCACTCTAAGCTGCGGAAGATTCACTTATTTTATTGTTCAGTGTAATATTAAAAGAAATCTGTATTTTGTCGTTCACATTTACCTTGTTTTATACAAACTTATAAAAAATTATTTAATTCATATTTACTCATATCTAAAATCCTCTCTCAAAGAACTATTGTTTTTTGTGTGGATTGTAATTTGCTTCTAACGAGGTAGAAAAGAGACAACTGGGATTTATTTGCCTTACCAGCGTTATCATTCAGTTCCTCCTGTTCTTTATCATATTCTCATTATGTTCATTTCTTTCTTTACACACACACCACACACACACACACCACCACCACACACACAAGCACACACACACACACACTACAAAACACAGCACGTAACCCACAGCACAGCACCCACAACACAACACCCACAACACAGCACCCACAACACAGCACCCACACACAGCACTACCCCACAACACAGCACCCACAACACAGCACTTACCCACCACACAACACCCACACACAGCACTCATCCCAACCACACACACCCACAACACAGCACGTACCCCACAACACAGCACCCACAACACAGCACTCATCCCACCACACAGCACCCACAACACAGCACTCATCCCACCACACAGCACCCACAACACAGTACTCATCCCACCACACACCCATCCCACAGCGCAACACTCACCTAAGGTTGAGAATGGAGAAGAAGGTGTAAAATGCGAGCATGAAGAAGAGACAGGCGAAGCCGTAGATATGGACGGGGAAGGCCCAGTGTAGCTGTCTCCTGATGTGGGTCCACCCATGCTCACCCTCCACGCCCACGCCCACGTCCTCCACCACCACCACACTCGAGTTACCGCCCACGCCTTCATCGTCACACAAGGTGGAATTCCAGTCTTCGTGGGCGGCATAGGTAAGAAGGTCAGGAAGAGCACGCTATAATTACACCAACAATTATGGGATATATTTCAATTTTGTGTATGTGTGTGTGTGTGTATCATCCACACGTGGTGCTACCAATCATCCACACGTGGTGTTACCAATCATCCACATGTGTTATGAATCATCCACAAGTGGTGTTAGCACCATCCAACGTGGTGTTAGCACCATCCACACGTGGTGTTAGCACCATCCACACGTGGTGTTACAGCACACAGTGGTTTACACATCCACAGTGGTGTTACCAATCATCCACACGTGGTGTTAGCACCATCCACACGTAGGTATTAGCACCATCCACACGCTGTGTTACCAATCATCCACACGTGGTGTTATCACCATCCACACGTGGTGTTAGCACCATCCACACGTGGTGTTATCACCATCCACACGTGGTGTTAGCACCATCCACACGTGGTGTTAGCATCATCCACACGTAGTGTTAGCACCATCCACACGTGGTGTTAGCACCATCCACACATGGTGTTAGCACCATCCACACGTGGTGTTAGCACCATCCACACGTGGTGTTACTCCAGTATCATTTTCCCCCTGAAGGGAGAGAGTCAAGGAACGTTAATTGCCCGGCCAGGGGGCATTCTTGTGCTAATTTGACGGCAGTTGCTTGAGCAAATATTTCCCTGCCCAACTATGTTTAACCTGAGGATTTTAATTAGCAGCTGTGCGTGGGGAGGATAATCCTCATTATCCTCATCATTCTCATCATCATCCTCGTCATCATGACCATCATTATTCTCACATGATATGTAATGATGAAGGCTAAGAGGGACCTGGGTGGCAGTGATGGGTGGCAGCTTCCTGCCACCTGGCTGGCAGGAAACTCTCCTGGTGGCCACCCACTTAATTAATAGAAGGTGAGATGGGCGGTGACGCCCGCCCACATAACTATCACTGGAGTGGATAGTCTTTAAGGAATAGATCTAAAAGTATTCTTCGAGTGATAGTCCTCTCAAGAAATAAAGTATTAAAGGGGAAATTTAAGATAATAATAATAATATTAATAATAATAATGATGATATATTATTATTATTATTATTATTATTATTATTATTATTATTATTATCATTATTATCATTACTATTATTATCATCATATTATTATGATTATTATTATTATTATTATTATTATTATTATTATTATTATTATTATTATTATTATTATTATTATTATTATTATTATTTCGGAGAAGCGTCAAATCCGAGGGGACAGTACAGAGATTATTGAAAATCAGAGCATGTACAAAAATATCATTATTCACCTTGATCTATATCATTGCTGGATACAATGATCTCAAAATTTAGTAAAAAGAGAATTGCCTCAAACAGTGTTGTTAATAATTGCTTTCTGAAGCCGAACCAAATCTGACGCTAATTACATTGCAAAGGTAATCGTTAAGGGGCTTCATGTCTGTTGAAAGGAACCGGTTGCTAAATTAAACGCACTTCTGAATCGGAGTTAAAATACATGAATACAGTAATTTATAAACGTAGACATAGAGGATACTAGAAGGATACCCGTAGGATACCTGAAGGATACCCGTAATATACCCGAAGGATACCCGAAGGATACCTGTAGGATACCCGAAGGATACCCGAAGGATACTCGTAGGATACCCGTAGGATACCCGAAGGATACCGGAAGGATACCCGTAGGATACCCATTCCCTTCGGCCCTGTCCTCGAAGGGCAATAACAGGTCGGAAACAAGTCTCAGTGACAACGGAAGAGGTACAAACAGAGGTTCCAACAGAAGAGATGACAGCAGAGGCACCAGCAGAATACTGACAGCAGGAGAGACAAGAACAAAGGCCCCAACAGAATACCGACAGTATAAAAAATGACAGCAAACAGAGCACCGACAATAAAAGGAACGATACCAACATTACCAATAGACTGCTCACAACAACAGCAGCAAAGGTACCAGCAAATAATGTCAAGCACATGTACTTGACATTGTTCACTGGTTACCCTGGCCAACAATAGTTTCAGTTCACGTTTAAAAACATACGTTTAAAAAACACACGTTTAAAAAAACACAGTTTTGTTCCAACACGAACAGTTTCCGTGAAACAGAACACCACGGTGAACGAGTTCACCAAAGCACATCCATCACGGAGAAAAGACGTCAGGGAAAACCTGACGACAAGGTTGACGGCTGACTACTGCTGGACGCTGCTGCCAGAGAACCATACTCAACACAAGACAAAAAGCCTGAAAGCCGTCATGTAAATGTTTGTATGACAGTACGAACATTATTTTTTTTTGCTATACATATTTATAATGAATTTACGTTCAGGAAGATTAATAATTCATCACTGCATGAAGCACATTAAATATCTAGAAGATACCTGGTTATGGACCGGCCGCGGGGGGCGTTGACCCCCTGAAACACCCTCCAGGTATAACATAATGGCTATGATTGTTAGGTAACATATATCATGTGATTCTTCAAGCTTAAATAGTTGATAATAAACCTCCAAAAATCTTTATTTATCGTGATCAATGTTAACTTAAAACCAACAATTTACTTTCTGAACTGGATAAAAAAAGTTAAATTTTGTTGATTAGTGTTAATTAGAAGTCGTCTAAAAATATTACTAATTGTCTAAAAATTATTAACAGTCATCTAAAGATTTTTTCCAATTAAGGAAAAGTAACTTTAATGACTCTTGAGGAGACGATAGAATTTGAACCTAATCTAATAAATAATAATAATAATAATAATAATAATAATAATAATAACAATAATAATAATAATAATAATAATAATAATAATAATAATAATAATAATAATAAATAATAATAATAAAATAATAATAATAATAATAATAATAATAATTAATAATAATAATAATAATAATAATAAAAATAACAATAATAATAATAATAATAACAATAATAATAATAATAATAATAAAAATAATAATAATAATAATAATAATAAATAATAATAATATAATAATAATAATAATATAATAATAACAATAATAATGATAATAATAATAAGCTTTATTTCTACAAGTACATGATACAACTTATACAGACCATAGCTAACATCGGTAACATATTATATACGATTTCCCGGGTTATACAGAGCATGTAGAGCAAATTAGGTTTTGTCCCCAGGATGCTACCCACACCATCCTGCTAACACCCAGGTACCTATTTTACTGATAGGTGAAGATGAACAGCAGGTGTCTTAAGGAAACACGCTCCCAGATGCTTCCACCCGTACCAGGGATCGCACCACGGACCTCAGTGTGTTAGCTAAGAGCGCTACCAACCGAGCTACGGGACACCTAGATTTACCTTCGAACCGGCACCGTCAATTAGGCTTACCTGCGTGATCCTCCCCCTTGAGCCTACCTGTGCATGATGTCAGTGTGTCCATGGCATTAGAGCCGAGACGAGGTGGGATCAGATCCTGTCTCTCACTCCGCCGTCTCCCATCTGTGGATATCAGACCAGAAGAAAATATAAAAGGTTTTGTTGCTTGTTTCTACTACTACTACTACTACTACTATTGCTACTACTACTACTACTACTACTACTACTACTACTACTACTACTACTATTGCTACTACTACTACTACTACTACTACTACTACTACTACTACTACTACTACTACTACTACTACTACTACTACTACTACTACTATTGCTACAAGTCTATTGCTAAAGCCTTTTATTTACAAAGAGAATTTTTTGGTTACACTTTTAGTAAGCGGAAGACAGAGTGTAAACAATAAGTCAGGCGGGGTGGAAGGTAGGTCAGACTTGTTTGTAAATTGTCTTGTGTATATTAAGATGAAAAAAAACACAGATATGTTTAGTTTCTAGGTTGGTTTGAAGACTATCGACTATACGAGGGTCCTTATGGCTGCACGTAACCTGTATGATACCAGTCATACCAGTCAATAATAAATTAAAGTAAACACTAGGTGTGTGCATATATATTATATATATATATATATATATATATATATATATATATATATATATATATATATATATATATATATATATATATATATATATATATAATATATATATATATATTATATATATATATATATATATATATATTACCAATAGGAATATTTTATTACATAATATGGTACAGAAGATTTAAGAGATACATTGTTAATATAAAGGTGGCATATACGGTACATGTTCTTACGTGTGTATCACCGAAAATCTCATCCAGCTCTTCAGAGCTGGGGCGTGTGCCCAAAATGCAGCAGGCATTACCCCTTTGAACAGCTGCACTGAGCCGCTGGAACAGAAAACTAGCTGCCCTGGGATCCCTAGTTACCCTGATGAGTCTTTTTCCCAGCTCCTTAAGGAATTTAGATGCATTCTTTCCCCATGAGCCAAGGGTCTCTGAGCCTATGGGAATAAACATACAATGATGGGCAAATTCTCCATATTTTCTAGACTTTTGGGACTCCCTGAAGCTGGCAGCTGCCCCTCCTTCCTCCCTGGTGTATTGGATATAGGTATCAGCCAAGGTAGATGCACATGTGTAGTTCCACACCACCTGCTTCCCGTCTGTCCAAGCTTGAAGGGTGATACCATCTGGACGCTTCTGGCTGCCATCAGATCTGCATAGCTGAGGTGGCTCCCTTACTGCTTGGCATCCGGCTGTTGTGAGGCTCCTCTTGATAATGTTATTAACCTCCTCATGTCTTGCAATCTTTCCCTCGGATTTACGGCACACAATACCATGGTACCCGAATCGGTCTGCTGCTTCACTGCCACAAATACACCTGTGTTCGGCTAGAATAGGGGCGGCAAGTCGAAGGGCAACATCGATGCGGATGGTCTGTGGGTCGAGGCGTGTGCCAAGGCTGGAGTTGGGAACAGCCAACAGAAAGTGCCCTGCATGAGGGGCTCTCACTGCCAGGAGGCGGGCTCTATCCTTCCCTGACACACTCTGAAGCATTGTTGAGGCTTTATTTTCCACTACTGGGCCATCCCAGTGCGACTGTTTGTAGTTGTTGAGGAGAGCAATTCTGGTTTCAGAGCCCGTTAGATTATCCCAGATCAACGGCTCCGTCAATGAACTTTTGTTCCTGGACTCCAATCTTGTCCCTAAGATGTTCAGGGAGATTCGCTGCTACAAGCTCTCTGGACACAATACATGAGGACAGAAAAGCAGGTAGCGCAACCTGTGATGACTTGCGGACACCAATGCCTCCAAGTCTGACTGGAGTGTAGTTTGGTTCCACTGCCCGTCTTCTAGAGTAAGGTTAAGTACTTTCGTAAAAATCTGCCTCAGGATACTGTCGGGTTGACGTTGTTGGCTGGTGAGTGGGTCAGGTTCCTGCTGATAATGATGGCGCTGCTCACACGACTCTACCAACCTGGCAACGTAAGTTCTACTTGTTTATTATGTTGCTACGTGTTTATGATGCTCTCAGCCTGTTTTATGCTTGTAATAGTAATAGTAATGGTAGTAGTAGTGGTAGTGGTAGTTGTACCAATAGTAGTAGTAGTAATAGTAGTAGTAACAATAATAGTAGTAATAGCAGTAGTAGTAGTGGTAGTTGTAGCGATAGTATTAGTGGTAGTAGTAACTAGTAGTGGTAGTTGCAGCAATAACAGTAGTAGTAGTAGTAGTAGTAGTAGTAGTAATAGTAGTAGTAGTAGTAATAGTAGTAGTGGTAGTAATAGTAGTAGTAGTAGTAGTGGTAGTTGTAGCGATAGTATTAGTAGTAGTAGTAACTAGTAGTAGTAGCAGTGGTAGTTGCAGCAATAACAGTAGTAGTAGTAGTAGTAGTAGTAGTAGTAGTAGTAGTAGTAATAGTAGTAGTAGTAGTAGTAATAGTAGTAGTAGTAGTAATAGTAGTAGTATTAGTAATAGTGGTGGTAGCAGTGGTAGTTATAGCAGTAGTAGTAGTAGTAGTAGTAGTAATAGTAGTAGTAGTAGTAATAGTAGTAGTAGTAGTAGTAGTAATAGTAGTAGTAGTAATAGTAGTAGTAGTAGTAGCAGTAGTAATAGTAGTAGTAATAGTAGTAGTAGTAGTAGTAATAGTAGTAGTAGTAATAGTAGTAGTAGTAGTAGTAGTAGTAGAAACACAAGTAACAAGAACAATGACGACGACAACAACAACAATTAAAACAGCAAAACAAACAAAAACAGCAACGACAAACAAAAACAATAACAAAACATCAACAGCATAGCAACATCAACACAGACGACAAACAACAACAAGCAACACGAATAAGCAAACGACAACAACAAACAACAATAACAACAAATAGCAACAAGAACAAACAACAACAGCAACGTTTCCGTTTTACCAAAATAAAACAAATCAACCAGACTAACAACAATCAATTCTCACACCATTAAGAGGGACAGGGGGCAGGAGGCAGGGGGTAGGGGGCAGGAGGCAGGGGGTAGGGGGCAGGAGGCAGGGGTAGGGGGCAGGAGGCAGGGGGTAGGGGGCAGGAGGCAGGGGGTAGGGGGCAGGAGGCAGGGGGTAGGGGCAGGAGGCAGGGGGTAGGGGGCAGGAGGCAGGGGGGAGGGGGCAGGAGGCAGGGGGAGGGGGCAGGAGGCAGGGGGTAGGGGGCAGGAGGCAGGGGGTAGGGGGCAGGAGGCAGGGTAGGGGGCAGGAGGCAGGGGTAGGGGCAGGAGGCAGGGGGTAGGGGGCAGGAGGCAGGGGGTAGGGGGCAGGAGGCAGGGGGTAGGGGGCAGGAGGCAGGGGGTTGAGGGCAGGAGGCAGGGGTAGGGGGCAGGAGGCACGGGGTAGAGGGCAGGGCAGGGGGTTGGGGCAGGAGCAGGGGCAGGAGGCAGGGTGAGGCAGGAGGCAGGGGGTAGGGGCAGGAGGCAGGGGAGGAGACAGGAGGCAGGGGGTAGAGGAGGAGACAAGGGGTTGGGAAGGAGCAGAGGGCAGGAGGCAGGAGGAGGGGGTAGAGGGCAGGAGGCAAGGGGTTGGGGCAGGAGGCAGGGGGCAGGAGGCAGGAGGCAGGAGGCAGGAGGCAGGAGGCAGGAGGCAGGGGTAGAAGGCAGGAGGCAAGGGGTTGGGGCAGGAGGCAGGAGGCAGGGGGTAGAGGGCAGGAGGCAAGGGTTGGGGCAGGAGGCAGGGGCAGGAGGCAGGAGCAGGGGGTAGAGGGCAGGAGGCAAGGGGTTGGGGGCAGGAGGCAGGGGCAGGGGGCAGGAGGCAGGGGCAGGGGGAAGAGGGAGGAGGCAAGGGGTTGGGGCAGGAGGCAGGGGGCAGGAGGCAGGAGGCAGGGGGTAGAGGCAGGAGGTAAGGGGTTGGGGCAGGAGGCAGGGGGCAGGAGGCAGGAGGCAGGAGGCAGGGGGTAGAGGGCAGGAGGCAAGGGGTTGGGGCAGGAGGCAGGGGGCAGGAGGCAGGAGGCAGGGGTAGAGGGCAGGAAGCAAGGGGTTGGGGCAGGAGGCAGGGGCAGGAGGCAGGAGGTAGGGGTTAGAGGGCAGGAGGCAAGGGGTTGGAGGCAGGAGGCAGGGGGCAGGAGGCAGGAGGCAGGGGGTAGGGGTAGAGGGCAGGAGGCAAGGGGTTGGGGCAGGAGGCAGGGGGCAGGAGGCAGGAGGCAGGGGGTAGAGGGCAGGAGGCAAGGGGTTGGGGCAGGAGGCAGGGGGCAGGAGGCAGGAGGCAGGGGGTAGAGGGCAGGAGGCAAGGGGTTGGGGGCAGGAGGCAGGGGCAGGAGGCAGGAGGCAGGGGGTGAGGGCAGGAGAAGGGTTGGGCAGGAGGCAGGGGAGGAGGCAGGAGGCAGGGGGTAGAGGGCAGGAGGCAAGGGGTTGGGGCAGGAGGCAGGGGGCAGGAGGCAGGAGGCAGGGGGGTAGAGGGCAGGAGGCAAGGGGTTGGGGCAGGAGGCAGGGGGCAGGAGGCAGGAAGCAGGGAGTAGAGGGCAGGAGGCAAGGGGTTGGGGCAGGAGCAGGGGGCAGGAGGCAGGGGGGGTAGAGGGCAGGAGGCAAGGGGTTAGGGGCAGGAGGCAGGGGCAGGAGGCAGGAGGCAGGGGTAGAGGGCAGGAGGCAAGGGTTGGGGCAGGAGGCAGGGGGCAGGAGGCAGGAGGCAGGGGGTAGAGGGCAGGAGGCAAGGGTTGGGGGCAGGAGGCAGGGGGCAGGAGGCAGGAGGCAGGGGGTAGAGGGCAGGAGGCAAGGGGTTGGGGCAGGAGGCAGGGGGCAGGAGGCAGGAGGCAGGGGGTAGAGGGCAGGAGGCAAGGGGTTGGGGCAGGAGGCAGGGGGCAGGAGGCAGGAGGCAGGGGGTAGAGGGCAGGAGGCAAGAGGTTGGGGGCAGGAGGCAGGGGGCAGGAGGCAGGAGGCAGGGGGTAGAGGGCGGAGGAAGAGGTTGGGGCAGGAGGGGTGGCAGGAGGCAGGAGGCAGGGGGTAGGGGCAGGAGCAAGGGTTGGGGCAGGAGGCAGGGGCATGAGCAGGAGGCAGGGAGTAGAGGGCAGGAGGCTAGGGTTGGGGCAGGAGGCAGGGG